TTTATAATTTATTTTCAAAATTTTCAAAGTTTTTTTAAAAGCTTTAAGTTTTTTTTATATAAAATCTTAAAGCTTTATTAAAAGTTTAACATTTTCTTTAACAAATTTCAGGGCTATATCAAAAGCTTTATATTTTTTATAGAAAATCTTGAAGGTTTATTAAAAGTTTTCAACTTTCTTACAAAAATCTTTAAGATTTTGTTAAAAGCTTTAAATTTTTTGAACATTTTCGTGCTTTTCATAAAAAATACGAAAGCTTTGCGTTTTTATAGTAGTTTTCAAAGTTTTATTATTAAAAGCTTTATATTTCCCATAAAGTATTTCTAAGTTTTATTAAAAGTTATACACATTATTTAGAAAAATTTGAAGTTTCATCAAAAGCTTTACTTTATTAAAGAAAATTTCTAAGCTTTGTTAAAAGCTTTACATTTTCTATACAAAATTTCAACATATTATAATTTCCATAACATATTTCAATGTTTTTTTAAGAACTGGTTAGGTTCTTAAGAAATGTTTAAAGCTTTATTATTTTTTATTTATATTTTTTAATGAAATGTCAAAAGTTTTTATAAGATTTAACTGATCTGATAAAAAGATGAAAGCTTTAGTTAAAAGTTTAAATTTTCTTTAGAAATTTACAAAGCTTTATCAAAAACTTAACATTTTATATAGCAAGTCTTTAAGCTTTATTTAATAAAGCTTTTTTGAGAAAATTTAAAGTTTTTTTCATAGAATATTTCAAAGCCTTTTTAAGAATATATATTTTTTCGAGAATATAAAAGCTTACATTCTATAATGTTAAAAGCTTTACGTTAATTGAATTAAAGTTTTATAATTTCCATAGAAAATTCCATAGCTTAATTAAAAGCCTTAAATTTTTTATGCAAATATTTCAAAGCTTAATTAAAGCTTTATATTTTTTTTAAAGTTTTATATTGTTTACAAAAATGTTAAAAGCTTTCTATTTCCTGCTAAAATGTTAAAAGCTTTTTATATGATCTAAAGCTTTATTTATATATACCATTTTAGAAACTTTATTAAAACCTTTAGGTTTTCTATTGAAATTTGTAAAAAATCTCATCAGTTTCTTTAGAACATGTAAAAGCTTTTTATTTTCTATTGAAATACTAAAAGCTTTATCTTTTATATATAAATTTGATATAGTTTTTTAAAAGCTTTCAACTGTTTATCGAAAATTTTAAAGTTTTAAGCTTATTTCCTATAAAAAAATCCAAAAGCTTTACGAAAGCTTTAAATATTCTGCTGAAAATTACAAATATTTATAGAATTTTCTTTTATGCTACAAAGATTTAACAATATCTTGCTTTTTTGTGAAAAAAGATTTAATAGCTTTATTAAAATCCTGTAAAGCTTAATCATTTCTTTAAGAAAATGTTCTTAATTGCAAACTCTTTCCTCTTTCCCCCTAAAACCCATCTAATCAGGAGAAAAAACAGTTTTAATTTTTTTGGCTAAAGTACAAAATGTTAATAACGTCATCATTATCAAGTTCTTTAGACCTTGTTGTCAAATGATAAAATGCCAAAGTATATAATTTTTTTATTTAATTCTTGTTGTTGTTTAACTATTAGGGAAAGAGCAGAAAGAAAGACAGACATTTAGACTCATAACTACTGAACTGAACTAGAACTAAATTTAGTTTTTATATTATTCTTCTACAGTTTAGGCAGTCAGCAGGTATTTCTATGGGGATTTACTATTTATTATAATAGAGTATAGAAATTATACATGAAATGATTACGTTTCTTTCTATTTACATAGAAAGCTTATGACGTAGTTGTTGTTTGTTATTTATGTAGCATACATTTAAGTTTAAGCAAAGTGATTACGTGTTTGTATTTCATATAAAAAAAGTAGCAAAAACCTACAATCCATTTTTCAAAATTTGTTTGGCAAACACAAGGTACAAGTCTTAAACACTCACATACACTCACTTACAACATTTTATAACAATGTGTGAGTGTATGACCTCATTTATAAATATTGTTGATTTTGTTGTTTTTTTGCTTGCCTTCGTTTACAATAAATAATTTCAAAGATTTTTCTTCGATTAAATATGAAATTATAATTAAATTTAATTGTTTACATTGTTGACATACTAGTTTACAAAGAAATGTGGTGGAGGTTTATTTGTTAGGTTAGTTTGCCAAAAGCAGTTATTGATTATATTAATGGTGGATTGGGACAGAGAGAGAGAAAGAGAGCGAGATAATGATAAGGAATGTAGATAATTTATAGATTTTAGAGATATTTTACATGATTTACTGTTCTTAATTTTGCAATTTTAATAGAATGTAATAGTTGACATGGTGTAAACAATAGTTTACCTCGTGTAAACAGCAGTTTACATGTTATAAACCATAGCTTACATAGTGTTAACTATAGTTTACATGGTGTAAAATATAGTTTACATGGTGTAAAATATAGTTTACATGGTGTAAACCTTAGTATACATGGTGTAAACTATAGTTTACATGGTAAAAAAACTTTACCTACATTAGGTAAGATATAGTTTATATGGAAAACCAATAGTTTACAGGTGTAGTTAACATGGAGTAAACAATAATTTACATGGTGTAAACCATAGTTTACATGGTGTAAAATATTTATTTGGCGCGAACCATAGTTTACATAGTGTTAATCATAGATTGTATGGTGTAAGCCATAGTTTAAATGGTGTAAATAGTAGTTTATATGGTGTAAACCATAGTTTACTTGGTCTAACAATAGTTTACATGGTGTAAACCATAGTTTACATGGTGTAAACCATAATTTACACAGTGTAAACCATAGTTTACATGGAGTAAACCATATTTTACGTGGAATAAACCATAGTTTACATGGAGTAAACCATAGTTTACATGATGTAATCCATAGTTTACATGGTGTAAACCATAGTTTACATGATGTAAGCCATAGTTTACATGGTGTAAAACATAGTTTACGTGGTGTAAGCCATAGTTTACATGGTGTAAACTATAGTTTACATGGTGTAAATCATATTTTACATGGTATAAACATTATTTACACACTAAAAAACATTGTTTACGTGGTGTAAACTAAAGATTATATGATGTAAGCCATAGTTTACATAGCGTAAGCAATAATTTACATAGTGTAAAACATTATTTACATAGTTTAAAGATTGTTTTCATAAAGTAAACATTGTTTACATATAGTAAACATTAGTTTACATATAGTAAACTTGAGTTTACATCGAGTAAACTTTAGTTTACATGATATAAACATCAATTTACATGACGTAAACATAACATTACTTGCTATTAATATTAGTTTACACGACATAAACTTTAGTTTACATTCTGTAAATATTAGTTTGCATTGTGAACACGTTTAAAACAATACTTTACTCTATGTCAACAATAATTTTAAGGGGTAAACAATGACTGCCATAATGTCAACTTTAAAACAAATGTAAACAACGATTACTGTACATAAATATGATGTTAACAAGGTCTAGATTTTGAGAAAACTTTAATTTTGCTCAGTGTCAATAAAGTCTAATTCATGTCAGCTATAAGTGTAACGTGTAAACAATGACTAAAATTGTGTTAACAATGATATAGTAGTGTAAATAAAGGTAAACGTAGAATAAATAAACTTGAATCATAGTTATGATGTAGACAAGGTCTAGAATTTGAAAAAAAACTTTAGTTTACCTCGATGCCAATAAAGTTAACTTCATGACAACTATAAGTGCAACGTATAAACAATGACTAGAATGGTGTAAACAATGATATTAAAATGTAAACAAAGGTAAAATAAAGTAATTAACATTATTTGATGTACAATTATGTTGTAAACAAGGTCTAGCATTTGAGAAAACTTTATTTTTTCAAAGTTTTAATAAAGTTTACAACATGTCAATAATATGTTTAGAGTGTAAACAATGACTAGAATGATGTAAACAATGATATAATAGTGTAAAATAATATAAAAAAGTGAATAATCTTGATGCATAATTATCATGTAAAAAGTGTCTGAAATTGTTTAGTTTACCTAGTTTACTTTAGTAAAAATAAAATCTACTTTATGTCAACTATACTTAAGTCGCGTAAACAATGTCAAAAGTGATGTAAACAGTGATAGAATGGTGTAATCAAAGGTAAACTATAGAATAAATTACCTTGAAGCATAATTATGAAGTAAAAAGTGGCGGAAATTGTTTAGTTTATCTTAGTAAAAATAAAGTCTACTTCATGTCAACAATATGTAAATAGAGTAAACAATGACTAGAATTAGGTAAACAATGTTGGAATAATGTAAACAAGAGAATAAAACTTGAGAAACTAACCTTGAGACATATTTGATGTAAAAATAAGCTGGATTAACTACTTTACCATGGTAAAAATAAAGTCTACTTCATGTCAACAATATGTAAATAGAGTAAACAATGACTAAAATGATGTAAACAATGTTGGAATAATGTAAACAAGAAAAAAACTTAAGTAACTAACCTTAAGGCATAATTTTAAAGTAAAAAGAAGCTGTATTACCTACTTTACCTTAGAGAAAATAAAGTCTACTTCATGTCAACAATATGTCAATCAAGTAAACTATGACTACAATGCTGTAAACAATGTTGAAATAATGTAATCAAGAAAAAAACTTAAGTAACTAACCTTGAGGCATAAATTTAAAGTAAAAAGAAGCTGGATTACCTACTTTACCTTAGAGAAAATAAAGTCTACTTCATGTCAACAATATGTCGATCAAGTAAACAATGACTACATTGATGTAAACAATGACTAGAATGATGTAAATAATACAAACAACTGGAGTAAATAGGGTTTTTTTGTTACAAAATTATAACAATTTGACAGTTTAATGACATCGAAGTCAAGGTTCATGTTTAAAGCTTCGCAAAACATATCACAATAGTAAAACTTCTTGAAATCTAGAACCCCATTTATAGATCGCCTTAAGAGATTTTTTCCATTTTTTCAAATTAAACTTACCATTATCATATTTTTCATAAGAATCACGTTCCTGCTCCTGCATATCATCCTCCTGCTCTTCATTCACCTCATTTATGCTCTCATTTTCCAAATCGAAATTACGCTCATCCGAATCGAGTATATATTCGGTTTCCTCTTCATTCGATGTTTGCGATGATACAACTTGATATGAGGGCGGTGTTAAGACAGTGCCCTCCTTATCAATATGGACATTATCTGCACCAGCAGCATAGGCGATATTCGGTTTATCCTGCTGCTGTTGATGTTGCAGATGATTGTTGTTGTTGTTGTTGTTAGAGTGTTGAGTGGCCGATTTAGGTTTGGCGGCTTCGGCCAGACCGTTATGGGGTTGATGACATGGAAGTATAAGGAGCGTTATTAAGAAGAGAAAGGCATAAGGGAGTAGGGGATTGTTGTTGGAGGAGGATATTGCAGCTGATGAAGACGTTGATAATGTAGTTGATGTTTGTTTACGTTTTTGTTTATTATGATTATTAGTTTTAGTTTTTATAATTATATGTTTTATTAAAGATAATACTACATTTTCTGCTGGTTTTTTATAAGGGGAGTTTTGTTGTTGTTGTTGTTTAACGGTTATTTGGGATTTTTGTTTTTGTTGTTGTGGTTTATATACAAATTTATGTTGTTTTATTTGTTGTATAAACGCTAACATATGTGTTAACAATAACGTTGTTATTACTTTAGCAACATTGTTTATAAACAATATTGCTGGCACATTATACTCCAACTGCTGCTGCTGCTGATGCTTTTCATTTTTAACCAAATTTTGCTTAGTTTCATAAGACAACCTTAGACGTCCTCTCCGACGTTTACTATTAAAATCTAATGATTCTTGTTTTTGTGAATCTAAGGATTCTTGCTTTTGTATTGGCGTCAACATGTTGCTGTCGTTTAAAAGTTTTTCTTTTAAAATTTGTGCCTTTTTGCGGTTTTCCGTTAAGAAATTAAAACTAGGCTTTGTTGCTTTTTTAATAGCTAAGCCTGGTTTAATTTCTGTTGGTTTTTGTTGTTCTTGTTGTTGCTGTTGTTGTGCATTTTGCTTAGTTGTTTTTAGCAAATTTAAGGCCCATTGTGTTGCTAATGTTTTGTTAACATTGTTGTTGTTATTATTGTTGTTATTGCTCTTAATGCTTGTTGAGGAAGAGGACCTATGCAGGGCAACATTGTTGTTATTGCTGTTGCTGCTGTTGTTGTTGTTGTTGTTTAAATGAGTGCCAGCAGCTAAAGGGAGTTTAAGGTTTACTGTTATCCCTTGTTGAGAGCGTAAGTGTGTTTTAAGAGAATTTTCATGTTTGTTGTTGTTGTTGTTTAAACATATTAAATTTTGTTTTGTTGCTGTAGAGGTTTTTGCTTTTGTTGGTTGTGGCCAAGTAGTAGTAGTTGTTGTTGTTGTTTCCTTTAAATGTTGCTGTAAACATGTTGCGTGTTGCTGCAACATTGGACCCCTTAAATTGATCGTGTTTTAGAAATTTCTCTCTCTATTATTCTTGCTTTATTAAATGTTTTTGTGCGAATTTTTTTGTTTTTAGTTTTAAAAGTTTTGTTGTTGTTGTTTTATATAGTAAAACCTTTAATATAATCGTTGTTGCCGTTTGTTGGGGGGAGGGGGGAGTTTAATTTGCCCCTAAAATTTTAGTTTAATAAATTTTTGCTTAATAGTTAAAGGTGCTGTTGGTTATAGTTGTTGTTTTATTTAGTTTAAGTTGTTGTAGTTAAAGTTTTAAGTTAAATTTTGTTAAATTTTAGAAGACTTATGTTTAGTTTTTTCTTTTTGTTACAATTATTTGAATTTTTTAGATTTTAACACTTTATTATTTTTATATTTTTTTACATATTATTTTTTTTTTAAATTTATTTTTTAACTTAAAATTAAGTTTTTTTTAAATTAATTTTTATTTATTAATAATTTTATCACATTTTTTTTTATTTTTTCTTAATATTTTCTTTTTTAATTAATTTTAATTTTATTTAAATTGTATACATTTTTTTAAAGTATTAAAGTTTATTTCTTTTTCTCTAAATTTCACATTTTTTTGTTGTTCACTTTTTTCATTTCACTTTAAAAATTTGCTTTAATTTCCTTCTTTCACGTTTATTTTGTAAAACCTTTTAAACAAATAGTTTTATTAAACATTTTGCCTTTAAATTATATTAAATTTTCTTTCACTTATATTTCATCTACTCCCCCAGCCTAATTTTAGGCTTTAATTTTTTTTCTTATATTTTCCTTTTTCTATATTTTTTTTCTTTTGCTATATTTTTGCTACAGCAAAAAAAAAGGTTTTATGTTTTCCCCATTTAAGCGCCAGTTAGTTGTGTTTAATTCGCGTACCTTTACCGTTATGATAACTCGTTTATTTTTCTAGTTTTCGTAAAGCTATTTTTATTTTTATAGCATAACGTCTAGGCGCACGCTTTACTTTTTTTCTTGTTGTTGTTTCCAAAGGGGGTGAGTATATATTATATATATATTTATTATATTCCACAAAAAGCTTTCTTCGTTGTTAAATGTCATGTCATTTTCTTATTGATATTCTAGTTGTTTTTGTTTTAAGCTCCTGCCAGAAAATACACTCGTTTTTTTGCGAGAATAATAATGAAAAACACTCATTATAAAGGAGTTAAAGAGACTGACAGCGAAAGAATATTGAGTTTTTCAGCTGTAATGAGAACAAAAAAAGAGTGTAAAAAGTTAGTTATTTATTAAGTACAAAGAGAAGAGCATTAATTTACAAAAATGTCATGTTTTTGGTAGTAAATTTTAATTAATCACTTAATTACAAATCATAAATAACTAAAACTATATAGAAAAACTAAATAAAACTTAAATTATGGTAAAATCTTCAAGAATTCCATAAAGTTTTTATATTTTTTTCAATTCGTATAAAAAAGTAGATCTACACGACGTATGAGTAATATTTAATAAGAGATTAATAAAGAAAATTCCTTATAACTTCTGATTGACAAAAGATAACCTGAGATCATAAGCCTTAAGACAAAATTATAAAATTATACACTTTACATATGAAAATTTTTGGTAAAAATGTCCTAAATTACGAATAATTTTAAAGCAAAATATATAACAGCATTTGGGAAAAGGTATTATTTAGCCTTTTAACAACACGCTTAAAAATGATTTCAATTTTTGAAATCCCTTTCAAATTTTGTCAGATATTACTAAAACCTCCACAAATCGATGTTTGTATGTAAATCTCGGTTTTTATTAAAATGAAACTACAAAACATTTAATTAGAAGTACAAGAAGTTCTAGTTCTGTTCTAGTTCTGTTCTAGTTCTGTTTCTAGTTCTAGTTTCTAGTTCTGTTCTAGTTCTGTTCTAGTTCTGTTCTAGGTTCTGTTCTAGTTCTGTTCTAGTTCTGTTCTAGTTCTGTTCTAGTTCTGTTCTAGTTCTGTTCTAGTTCTGTTCTAGTTCTGTTCTAGTTCTGTTCTAGTTCTGTTCTAGTTCTGTTCTAGTTCTGTTCTAGTTCTGTTCTAGTTCTGTTCTAGTTCTGTTCTAGTTCTGTTCTAGTTCTGTTCTAGTTCTGTTCTAGTTCTGTTCTAGTTCTGTTCTAGTTCTGTTCTAGTTCTGTTCTAGTTCTGTTCTAGTTCTGTTCTAGTTCTGTTCTAGTTCTGTTCTAGTTCTGTTCTAGTTCTGTTCTAGTTCTGTTCTAGTTCTGTTCTAGTTCTGTTCTAGTTCTGTTCTAGTTCTGTTTCTAGTTCTTTCTAGTTCTGTTCTAGTTATGGTTCTAGTTCTGTTCTAGTTCTGTTCTAGTTCTGTTCTAGTTCTGGTTTCTAGTTCTGTTCTAGTCTGTTCTAGTTCTGTTCTAGTTCTGTTCTAGTTCTGTTCTAGTTCTGTTCTAGTTCTGTTCTAGTTCTGTTCTAGTTCTGTTCTAGTTCTGTTCTAGTTCTGTTCTAGTTCTGTTCTAGTTCTGTTCTAGTTCTGTTCTAGTTCCTGTTCTAGTTCTGTTCTAGTTCTGTTCTAGTTCTGTTCTAGTTGTCTAGTTGTTCTAGTTCTGTTCTAGTTCTGTCCTAGTTCTGTTCTAGTTCTGTTCTAGTTCTGTTCTAGTTCTGTTCTAGTTCTGTCCTAGTTCTGTTCTAGTTCTGTTCTAGTTCTGTTCTAGTTCTGTTCTAGTTCTGTTCTAGTTCTAGTTCTAGTTCTGTTCTAGTTCTGTTCTAGTTCTTTCTAGTTTCTGTTCTAGGTTCTGTTCTAGTTCTGTTCTAGTTCTGTTCTAGTTCTGTTCTAGTTCTGTTCTAGTTCTGTTTCTAGTTCGTTCTAGTTCTGTTCTAGTTCTGTTCTAGTTCTGTTCTAGTTGCGGTTTTCTAGTTCTGTTTCTAGTTCTGTTCTAGTTCTGTTCTAGTTCTAGTTTCTATTCTGTTCTAGTTCTGTTCTAGTTCTGTTCTAGTTCTGTTTCTAGTTCTGTTCTAGTTCTGTTCGAGTTCTGTTCTAGTTCTGTTCTAGTTCTGTTCTAGTTCTGATTCTAGTTCTGTTCTAGTTCTGTTCTAGTTCTGTTCTAGTTCTGTCTAGGTTCTGTTCTAGTTCTTTCTAGTTTCTGTTCTAGTTCTGTTCTAGTTCTGTTCTAGTTCTGTTCTAGTTCGGTTGTTCTAGTTCTGTTCTAGTTCTGTTCTAGTTCTGTTCTAGTTCTGTTCTAGTTCTGTTCTAGTTCTGTTCTAGTTCTGTTCTAGTTCTGGTCTATCTTCTAGTTCTGTTCTAGTTCTGTTCTAGTTCTGTTCTAGTTCTGTTCTAGTTTCTGTTTCTAGTTTCCTGTTCTAGGTTCTGTTCTAGTTCTGTTCTAGTTCTGTTCTAGTTCTGTTCTAGTTCTGTTCTAGTTCTGTTCTAGTTCTGTTCTAGTTCTGTTCTAGTTCTGTTCTAGTTCTGTTCTAGTTCTGGTTCTAGTTCTGTCTAGTTCTGTTCTAGTTCTGTTCTAGTTCGGTTCTAGTTCTGTTCTAGTTCTGTTCTAGTTCTGTTCTAGTCTGTTCTAGTTCTGTTCTAGTTTCTTGTTCCTAGTTCTTCTAGTTCTGTTCTAGTTCTGTTCTAGTTCTGTTCTAGTTCTGTTCTAGTTCTGTTCTAGTTCTGTTCTAGTTCTGTTCTAGTTCTGTTCAGTCTGTTCTAGTTCTGTTCTAGTTCTGTTCTAGTTCTGTTCTAGTTCTGTTCTAGTTCTGGTCTAGTTCTGTTCTAGTTCTGTTCTAGTTCTGTTCTAGTTCTGTTCTAGTTCTGTTCTAGTTCTATTCTAGTCTGTTCTAGTTCACTTCGTTAGCTATTATATCCCTTACAGATTGAAATGAAGTTTATTTTTTGAACATCGGTTTGTTCTTACAACATTTTTCTCACCAATAGACCCGTTATCGGTGCTTCTTAACTTAATTAAAACTAAATTCTAAAATAAAAAATAGTATAACTTTTTTTGGCCATAAATCACCAAAAAAAGTCATAAAATATTTGCAAAATTGTAACAAATCTTTAATGTTTTTTCTCATTACTCACAAAAAAAATACACACACACACTAACATAAAAAAATGTTATGTTAAGTTGTAAAACAACAACAAATCATTAAAAATTGCCATATTTAAATTTTATTTAATAAAGTCACGTTATCAGCAGCAATTTAAAGGAGACTAAAGTACTTAAGCAGCTACCCAAAAAAATGAGTAAAAACTCATTGATTTTTAAAAAGTGAACTCTATAAAACTCAGAGAAAGAGAGAGAGAACATACTCTCTCTCTCTTGGTCTTCTCTTTTCAATAACATGTGTTTAACTAAAAACAAAACAAGCACACAGCTGATTTAAGAAAAAAATCTCCTAAAAGTATACATCAAGTTTGCGTTCTCTCTCGCTTTCTCAGTCTCTTTTAAGTATTTGTGAATATGTGTATTATTTCATGAGTTTTCCTTTGTACCGTTATTTGCCACTACTAACACTGATACCCAGTTTTGTGTAGTTGTTATTTTTCTTGCTGCTGCTATTATTGTTGTTGTTTTATTTTTGCTACCACCTCCTAGTTTGTGCCACTTTACTTTTTTTTCCGTTATTATCGCTTCTTGTTGTATTTCATGTTTATCAGGTTTGTAAGTTTTTTTTCTGCTGCTGTTGTTGTTTATTGTGGTTGTTGTTATATTTGCACCACAAAATCCTTAATAGTTTTATTTAGTCTATAGGAGAGGGTTTCTAGTTCTGCTAGTGTTGTTGTTGTTATTATCCTTGCTAATGTTTCCTATGTATGTATGTGTGGTGTTAGTATATATTTCTTTTTTCAGTTTTTTTCTTATTACGTTTTGGTTTTTATATTCTTTTTTTTATTACACACACATACATATTTTTTTGTACAAAAAATTGAAATGCCGCGGCTGGTTTGTATTTTTTTGTATTTCTTTGTTAAGGATTCAGGGGTTTTTTTCTATGCTGCTTCTTGCTGTCTGTTGTCCTCAACGAGTGTGTACTCTACTACTCTAGTTTAGACGGAACGTAGTTTATCTTGTTTTTAGTATTAAGGATTTTGTGTTTGTTGTTGTAGTTTTGCACTAATTTTTCATGTAGCTATTTTTCCTCCTTTTTCATTTAATGATGGACAGTGGGTTAGCAGAAAACAAAATATGTAATATATTTCTTTCGAGTTGAATTATAGTCATGTTCAAATAGTTTCTAGTTTCTAGTTCTGTTCTAGTTCTGTTCTAGTTCTGTTCTAGTTCTGTTCTAGTTCTGTTCTAGTTCTGTTCTAGTTCTGTTCTAGTTCTGTTCTAGTTCTGTTCTAGTTCGTTCTAGTTCTGTTCTAGTTCTGTTCTAGTTCTGTTCTAGTTCTGTTCTAGTTCTGTTCTAGTCTGTTCTAGTTCGTTCTAGTTCTGTTCCTAGTTCTGTTCCTAGTTCTGTTCTAGTTCTGTTTCTAGTTCTGTTCTAAGTTCTGTTCTAGTTCTGTTCTAGTTCTGTTCTAGTTCTGTTCTAGTTCTGTTTCTAGTTCTGTTCTAGTTCTGTTCTAGTTCTGTTCTAGTTCTGTTCTAGTTTCTGTTCTAGTTCTGTTCTAGTTCTGTTCTAGTTCTGTTCTAGTTCTGTTCTAGTTCTGTTCTAGTTCTGTTCTAGTTCTGTTCTAGTTCTGTTCTAGTTCTGTTCTAGTTCTGTTCTAGTTCTGTTCTAGTTCTGTTCTAGTTCTGTTCTAGTTCTGTTCTAGTTCTGTTCTAGTTCTGTTCTAGTTCTGTTCTAGTTCTGTTCTAGTTCTGTTCTAGTTCTGTTCTAGTTCTGTTCTAGTTCTGTTCTAAGTTCTGTTCTAGTTCTGTTCTAGTTCTGTTCTAATTCTGTTCTAGTTCTGTTCTAGTTCTGTTCTAGTTCTGTTCTAGTTCTGTTCTAGTTCTGTTCTAGTTCTGTTCTAGTTCTGTTCTAGTTCTGTTCTAGTTCTGTTCTAGTTCTGTTCTAGTTCTGTTCTAGTTCTGTTCTAGTTCTGTCTAGTTCTGTTCGAGTTCCGTTCTAGTTCTGTTCTAGTTCTGTTCTAGTTATATTCTAGTTCTGTTCTAGTTCAGTTCCATTTTAATTTGCTTGCTTGTGACTCCACTGTTGTAAGGGCCAACACCTAGCGGGTGTAGGGAGGAGAAAAAAAACTGTTTTTTTCATTTCTAGTTTACTAGGTAATCTAAGTGGGAAAAATCTTGCTCATACTCGTAAAAATAACCACATAC